AACCCTGTATATATTCTCCCCACCACGGCCCTCCCAAACATCCCGTCCCGATCTTTTGCCGCCCCAAGCATCCTTACCACGCCTGCAACGCTCTTTGACTGCAGACCTTTCTGCAACGCGGCAAACATGATGGCGAGGGACCATCCGAGGATGAACTTGGCAAGGAGACTGTAGGAGATTTTGTAGAAAATCCGCTTGACCGGTCTCCACCGAATCTGTGTGGACTTGCTGCTACTAACATATGCCTACAAGCCTATCGTCGAGAACCATATACTCACTCTGATTTCTTGGCGATTGCTTCCGATCTTGAAGCTCAGGAACGTGAGTTGTATGGTGATAACCCGACTCTGCATCCCCCACAGGACAGTGATTAGTTGTATGGCGATAACCCGACTCTGCATCCCCCACAGGATAGTAATTACACTCGACATGGGGGATTCAATGTCTCTGTTTTGGAGACTGATTTGATAAGGCGCCGACTTGATATGCAGCGTGCCCCTTCGGGTGGCGACCCAAACCACTTTTCACACGTTTGTGCCAATATTCTACATGCTCCTGGCCACTCTTGTCCGTGTCTCCGGTTCTTGGGAATTATGGAATGGCGGTGCTATGGTGCAAACTATTACTGCCATCTGTGATCTCGTGCGTAATTACCCTAACCTGCAACTGTTCCAGGTCATTGACCCTATGGGTACCTCGTGTACTTCCATGCCCGCCTCTACGCCTATCTCTGTGACTGCCTCCGTACCTGTCTCTGTGCCTGTTTCTGTGTCTCTCTTTCTAGATTACTGACTCTATGGGTACCACGTGTACTTCCGTCCCCGCCTCTGCACCTGTCTCTGTGTCTGCCTCCACAACTGTCTCCATGCCCGTTTGTGTGTCTATCTCCGTGCCTACCTCCATGTCTGTCACCGTGCCTGCTTTAGTCTTTATTCCCCCACATGCTGCACTAACACCTTGTGACCTCCTCCTTTGTGAGATCACTGACACAGTTACACTTGGTTGTGGAAAGCATCGACTTTTTCGACATCACTACAACTATATAAGTTTTCCGGCCCGTTGTCGGCAGGGATGTCACCCGTATCCGGATTGTGAACATCCTCTACATCCAGATGCAGTATGTCCCATCTGTACCTGCGGGCGCTATAGCGAATGTGCACTTAACTGTGATGGTGAACGCCCCACAATCGTCATGACCTGCAACCGGCATGCCCTCTGTCGTGCATGCTTCAAAGGTATTGTTAATGCTAGCCGCCCTGACTCCTGTTGTGATGAAGTTGCTTACCTGAATGGTTTTCGTCCTGTAGATCAGCGGGAGGGCTGCTACCGTCGCCCGCATCCTTATGATAGTTGTCCTATCTGTCGTGAGGGTCTTACTTAGACGTACCTTGCACCTTGACAAAAATGTGCAAGTGCGCTAAAAAGAGTGTACAAGAATGTGCAAAGGTGGGGAAGCCTTCAGAAAAACTGCAAAATTGTGAAGAATGCAGTAAAAGAAGAACATAAGTTTGTACCGTGCACCCTAACACCCTCAAAAGAAAAGTCTGAAGGGTGAAAATAAGGATGAAAAATGAAGAAGGAAGTGCAGGTGCGCTGAAAAGCGAACGTGGTAGACTCTTCACCAAAACTGCAAAAAAACTGTGAAAGAAAGAAGAATGCAGTAAAAGAAAGATGTTTGTGTCAACATTTTTTATGTTTTCTCCCTCTGCCTATTGGTTTTCCTTTCCTGCTCCTCTCTTCCTTGTGTTTAACACCTCTTCCTTCACTCTGCCTCTTTTCCATAGCGTGCAAGTGGGGCTGTTATTGCATACGGGGATGGGGGCAGCTCGCGCTCAACTTTATCAACGTGGCGAGCCTTGTACGTAAGAGGCACAGTGGAGGAGGCGTTAAGAAGACTGAGAAACTGAATGATTTCAATGTGTCTTTGTTTTTTATTTTTATCCTTTGATTCAGTGAAATTTTATTTGTAAAACACTAAAAGAAATAATAATACTGTGAAACAAAGAATAAGAGGACACTGTTTTGTGTCATTCTGGTTTGTCTGTCTCTTTGCCTGTCCGTCCTTTCATTTTTCCTTTCTTCATCTTATTTCTTCTTCTAATTCACGTGCTTACGCTCTTAGTCAACAGTTCTATATATCGTCACAAATATATATATATCATCAAACAGAGCTGCCCGGTAAACCATAGGCAGAGAGGGAGAAGAGGACAACAAACGAGGGGCTGTGACAAACTGTTTCCTCGGAGTTTCACTGACTGACTCATCAGGAGGCTGAACCCTCAACAGTCTACAAAATTCCCTAACTGATTACACTAAGTGATAATCCACCTTAACCCCGGTTGTGGTTAAGCATCAACGACTGCAATCACAACTGATACCCTGAGGTGGTCACCAACCACTGCCCTCAAGGTACCTGCGCCGAAAATCAAAGCAGACTATCACTCCCCCACACCAGATGGAAAACTCTACAAACTCTACAGACTGTCGGTTCACACCCCATCACAAGCCAGCAAAACACCCACGAAACAAAGAAAGGTCTGTCACAGCCAAAAAATACGCTCCACACACACCGCTGGCACTAGAGGCACAGCATGGTCGCTTAGTGACGGCCCCGACCACTGGCGCTCGACCTGACCGGAGAAAACCGTAGCAAAGTGCAAACGAAGTCGTGTAGATATATTATATATATTTTTGTTTGTATTTTAATTTTGGTAAAGAATTCCGATGTGACCCTGAGGCCAAAGTTGTTTGGTTCCTCCGATATGTAGCCAGGCATTCACAGGAAGAGCAGTGTCGGTGATGAGCGATCGTAGGCTTCTAATTTTGATTAGGCGTATTGACTTGTACTTCAGGCATGGAAGCTCGGAGATTGGTTCCATTCTCCGTCCTAGGAGTTTGTTCTATCTTCCTTTGATTACAGGCTCAAGGTCCTTAAGTCTTTAGCAGCATCCTATACCCCATCTTGACTGCGTACTGTGCTATGTGAGTGGGGGTCTTGTAGAATTTGTTATTACCCGAGGACCACGACCATTCCTCTGGGTCGAATTCGAGGTCATGAATTGCTGTGTCCATTTCGGCCAGATGCCTAAGACTCTTATCTTCCGTAGTGTGAAAGAGTTAAAAGCCGATTCTTGTGGGTCAATGTTGTGTATAGAGGGTGCCTTGGGGTTGGTACGATCTATTGGGAAGGAGGTGAAGACTCCTAAGAAGTCTGAACCAGGGGATCTGCCGAAAAATTGGTAAGCTCTTTCTGGTATCGTTTCCTGGGTCAGCACTCCCCTTTCTTAATTGCGTTCACGTTTGCTTTCTTTGGGGTACCCCATTCATTTGTTCTAGCGCACGAGTGTGTGTGTGTGTGTGTGTGTGTGTGTGTGTGTGTGTGTGTGTGTGTGTGTG